CAAACCCTAAGTCCCTCAGTGTTGCAGTAAGGTCAAAACCTTTCAGCATTGTACCAGTGTGTCAAAATATGTCAACAAACCATCATACTGCAAGAAGAAGAATGACCTTTCAGTTCTTTATGTTTGGGCTGCCAATGAAGCTTTGGATACTGGGTATGCATGAACAGTTTTCCTAGCCACTTGACAAATGCAACTCCCAAGGTTTCCTCCAAGTCAAGTTGCTATACCACTGGCTTTCAACTCACCAGTATAACTTTTTAAACCATTTGCAACTGCAGAGTACTGATCTTGTTATAGAACAGACATCCATAAACCCACAGCATAACTCCCTCTTCCCCAAGCACCCACAATCACAAAACAATTATTACTGAAACAGTCTTCACAGTAACACGACAAACCATTTTAAACAGTTGAACAGAAAAAAAACTGTATATTGTTCTGATGTTCTGTTTCAGCCTTGGCTCACATGTGATTCATCCATATAGTCAGCTGCAAATGAATTTGAACAGAATACTCTTCTCACAAAACCCAAACAACACATCGGCTGTGTTTGTGACTGAAATACAATCATTTGCTTTGTTTCTGTTCACATTTATCTGAAATAAATACCTTTTGTAATCTACAGGACTGATGTTTTTACTGTAACTGTTATTTATAAATGAAATTCTCAAGATCAGACATAATTTATTAATCAACAACACATTTAATCACTAATTTAGGCTCCCAAAAAGTGAGGTTACTATTTTAAAATTACTGATGAGAAACTTGCTTTTATTTATTCTTTCAAAAAAGCAGAAACACTGGACTAACAACATTAAGAACACAAGCAAATGGGGAAGGAATTTAGTACAGGGATGACTTACCATTCTTATTCAACGAGAAGATGAAGTGCTTCTCTTTCACTATGTGAAATTACCTTTAGTTTAATATCAGTGTCAAATGTGACATTTTCCTACGGTCTTTCTCACATACAGTAAAGTTTCTTTAGCTAATAATGGCGTCAAGCTTTCTCCTGGGACTCTCCAGAAATTACATTCCAGGATGTACATATGCCTTAGCCAGGCTTGCAGAAGATACAAAATGTAAATTACTGTGTTTGAGTTTATATCTTCTTACAGCAAGTCACTGACAGTGCACCCACTAATTACTATTTTAACCGTGTATTGCTGATTTCTGTATGCATCTTAGAAAACAGGAGTGCTGCCTATCAGCTCTGACTAATAGACTTTTACAGCCAGGACACCAATTTTTAATTTATGTTAGAAAAAATTATAAAATTAGACACTCTGGGGAAAAAAAAAAACCCTAAAATAATTTACAGCATGCTCTCAGACCATGTTTTAAACTGCAATCTGTGTTACTTCCTCCTCATGCTCTCCAAATTACCTTTAGTCACACTGACTATTCAAGTTTTTATCCTCATGGTTACAAGAAATACATCAATGTAGGCCAGTGAACAACGAAGAGTGTGGCATCTACTACACATGCACAAAGCAATTATATTTTGCACATCCAGTTGTCTTGTTTACCCAGTGGCAGTGAAAGCTATAGCCTGCTCAGTGGATGTCACCACTTTGAAGGAACAAATGTATTGAGGGAAGGGATTCTGCAAGTACATGAATCATTTTATACTAAGTTTGTTCAGTATATAAAATAGCTTTTTTTTTTTAAATCATCACTCTGCAAAATCAGTCTGGGAATACGTAAGACCAAACTTGCCTTTTTCTGTTTATTATTGAAAATTCTCAATATCTAAACAGCATCTTAAATTACAACTGTGCAAACCCACTGACAAGGTACACTTTGTACATTTTTAATGTGAAGCTTAATTTGAAGATGAGGTTGCAGTGCAGCACTGCAACTGAAAATTGCTTAACAATACCATTGATGTATGAGCCATAAAAAACCTTGCTAAGCTGTCCCTGCAGAACTCAGAGTAATAAAAAGGTGTTCTTTTGCACTGAGGTGAACAGACATGGTTGACTGCATCTAGGGAGCTGTTCTGTTAAATGAGAAAGTGCCATTTCTTTCCTGTCAGTACAGACCAATTTAAGACACTCGCAGATTTAGTTAGCGATGAGAAAGTGCCATTTCTTTCCTGTCAGTACAGACCAATTTAAGACGTTAGCACAGAGTACAGGATTTAATGAAATACACACGTAACAGCAAACAAACCACAGCTATGTTCAAAGCTTTCAGTCAGATTGTGTGCAGAATTAAAGTTCTACATGTGACACATGCGGGAACTTTTCCAGTCTTTCCCAATTTTCAGAGAAACAATAAAAAAGCTGAAAGAAAAAGGTCTAAAACCTCTTACCTTCCTTCCTTTCAAAGTATCTAGACATGTATTTCTATCCACATCTAAGAGGTGATGTTACAGGTTTTCTCTTCAATTTCCTTTCGGCTTTAAGTTCAATCAACAGATGAGGTTTACAAAACCCTAAACTATCAGCTGAGTGTCATACCTCTGATGCTTCTTCCCCAAATGGATTCCTCCTTCAAGAGGAAAGGAGACACACAGGTGCAGTGAATTGACTGGGAAACTGGTTCCCACTTGAGAGATCCTTGCATAGGCTGATTAAATCTTACAAAATTGATTCACAGTTTGTGCAGCTACACCTGTGTCCTTTCATATAAATAGTTTCAGAGAGTGATCAAAGTTAACTGTCTAAATGCAACCTAATGTGTCAACAAGTGTTCATTAACCCAACTGTCATATTAGAAGAAGCTGCAGTAGCTCAGAATTCATTTTAGAAGATGATGTGATGCTGTTAGTTTGGCCAAGCAGTACCAAAATTAAAACTAACAGGATTTGTTCTTTAAAAAACCCCACAGAAATCTCCCTAATTTCCATAGTTAACATCACTAAATTCTGGATTTGGGGAATAACAAATCTCACTAAGGAGATTCCTAGTTTCCTCTATGAATGTAAAGTCACTATATTTAAGAATCAAATATTTTTGCAGTTGTTTTCAATATGAACAGCTATAACAGAAGATTTGAAAAAATCTTGAAAATACTTCCAAAATAGTCTTATCAATCCACATATCAATTCAGACTAGCTTTTGCAACACTAAAGGTAAAAACTAGCAGCTCGGTGAGAAATGTTATTCCATTTTTGAAGTTGCAATATTAATTAATACATGACAAAATTAAAATGAAGACAGCTGTATCTTGGTTTCCTGATAAATGCATAAAAGAAGTTTGTTTTGGAAATTTCAGACTCAAATGGTACATTTGAATGTACATTCTCAAATGTTTTACACATTTTATAGCTCAAACCAGAACGTGGATAGTCATTTACTTCAGCACAAAAAAAGGCAGAAACTAAAACTTCAACTTTGCAATGGCAATTCTGCTTCAAACAAAATGGATCAGTGCCTTCTTCCTACTTGCCTATTCAACTTTCACCTCATGTTAACTTAGCATCTTTATGCTCATGTTCTCTATTTAAAATTCACTTTTTGGAGCTGCTTTTCTCTGCTACCATCATGGATGCCTTCAAACTCATCCTTTCTCCTCAGAAAATATTCCAGCCAGTACATCTAATGGCCTCCTACCAGCCTGAGCTGCTCCATCTCCTCTTATTTACACAGTTGTGCAAGTCCAGCACCGTTTGCATCAGTATCTTTCTGGCCGTTCTCACCATTTGCCTAGATACTCTATATACTCAAATTTCTCTCGAAGTCTTGTATTCTGGTTATAAGATTCATAAATTCTTTTCTACAAATTTCCTGTAGTAGAGTATCTTCATCCAAGAGCTGACAGTCTTTCTGAGATCCCCATTACCTCAATTCAGCTTTTGTAAGTCACTGCTTTCTGGGATTGTCAAGTAAGAGCACGTCTTTCTCATGTCAATCAAGAATGTTGCTGCAGAGCGTAATTTTGAGCTCTGATGATAGTATGCTCAAGATTTGGTCTCTCTTCTTCTGCTGCCTCCGATAGAATCCACTTTTAAGTTATTTCCCAACCTATGGTTGGCTATTTTAACCTTGGCATTTCTCATCTTCAGTTCAAATGGTCACCAGACTAGCCTCTGATGTTGGCACATGCTGTCTAATTGTTGCGTGTTCATACGTTTGTGTCATTTTCTCCACTATGCCTCAGATTTCATTGATGATCTCTTTTGAATACTGAGCAGAACTTTTAACTTTATGCTTTTAAAAATCATTTATTAAAGCTTTCATTTATCTCACTTACTCACTACCTTGCCTTGCTTAGTGTTCCACCACATTAAAAAATGGAACTGAATATAAAGCACCTTTTTATTATTGTTTTTGGAAAAAAAATCCTCCAATAAGGAGGCTTCTAGTACCATGGAAAGATATATAATTATATACAATAACAACTTTTATAAGAATAAAGCAGAACTATTTTAACTATCTTTAAAAGAAAAGATCTTTCTATCAATACCATCAACATGTTAAAAACCCCACTCTGTCTGGCATAACTCATTTCCCTCCTTATGTTCCTGCAAATACTTAATACATTTTTTTTATCTTGAAGACAACTGTTATTACTGCTTAAAATGTAGATAATATTTAAAAAAATACTTTATTAAAAAACCCCAGTGAAACAATACTGTCCTAGATACAGTTTGCAATACAGTTTTTGACACACAATGTCCACTTGGTTTGTGAAAATTATAACAAATTTGGCACCTTGCAGGTATTACAAAATGTTACAGCAAAATCTTCCTTTGAACTCAGGTACTAAAAAAATTGATATATAGCTTCTGTACCGAAGTAACTTAATTCTGTCATCCAGCATCATTGTAAAATCACCATATATATCTGCTGCATGCTAACAATTATGATGTGAATTTTTCACAAATATTTCATCATTCAGTACAACATACTAATTGATGACATTCAAAATGCCAGATTAGTAACATGTATTTTGTTCACGTGGCTTAATACAAAAGTCACTAGTGTTTCTTCCAGTAACTTCTTTTAAAATACAGTCCTATTTGTCTATAAAGAAAAAGAACAGAAATATACCTGTTCCAGTAGCTCCAAAACTGGTCCTGCAAGTAGGCTTGGTGGCTACTTTCATCACCGAATGAGGCTTTGCTTTCAATCCAGTGAATTATGTGTCCTTCAACAGCTAGGGTGACAGCAGAAAATAAAGTGAACTCTGAAAATCAAACTCAACAGCCTGCAAGAATGTGTTTGGGAATATCCTATTTACCCTCCAATCTACTACATAATTCATGCTTGCAACAGAGCTACAGATTTGTAAAAATATCTTTCAAATATGCACATGCACAGAAAGGTTGGAATATGGCAGCACAATTGACCATAGAGTGTAAAATTACTTGAGAAATCTGGGTAAATAACTCATGAAATCACCACACTGAGCTCTATATGTCACCACTACCCTGCTATCAGTAACCAAGTTAATTTGTGTAGGCCTATACTTCTACACCCTCCCCCTACCCTCACCACCTTTAGACCCCAGAAGATAAAATAGCCTAGGCATAAACTCTGTAGTCAGTTGAGAAGCAATTTCTAAGAAACATTTGCCTTTCCTAGCTATGTACTGAGTCATGAAGAAGAGAATTCAGGGACTGCCATACATTAATTCTGATTGGACAGCAGGTAGAAAATTATTTCCTGCCAATCTCAAGTGACTGAAATAATATGAAGAAAGTAATGCTCTATCACTATTCAGATTTCAAGAGATAAATCCATGCTAACAAATTAATGGCTATTTTTATCTTTCTTTCTAATAGGGTAATATTACAAACTCAGGAATCGTTTTGGCTGTTTCCCAGTTTCCCTTCTCAAGCATTAGAAAAATCAGCTCCATCCAGTTGCTTTTATTTTTTTCTCTCTAGGTGACCCTGACAATCGGATGACCACCAGAGGTCCCTTCCAGCCTCAGCCATTCCGTGATTCTGTAATTTCACAACCTCCCCTGCTAACTTTAAACTTCACTAAAAACAAGTGTTCCCTCACCCCTAAAGTTCTTGGTAGCTTCCTGAGACCCTCCAAAAATACAAGGTATGGAAGTGAAGGAGTGGAAATTAATTGAAAACTCTCCAGGTGTGGCTTGACAAGAGTGAATTGCAGATCATTAGGATGCCAAATCCTATTTCAAATATGGAGTGGTTTGGTTACAAAGGTATTTTTATTTTGTACATATAAGCTGTTATTAACACCACTACCATTTTTCTTTTTAGGAAATGTGATTAGGAATACAACCATCATTGAGCTAAGGGAAGTCTTTAAAAACTTTTCAGAAGACTCTCATTTACATAGCTGTCTATCTGTTGGATAACGGATTCTTGTGTTGAAAGATGGTATCTCAAGCACTTCTGAGTAGTGAGACATTTTACAGTACACACTCAATTCCTTACACCAGTGCACAAATCAGTTATCTCAGTAAGAATTCTAACTGGTATTAGTAAGAAGAACAAAAAACTAGTCATGTATATGACTTTCACACAGTGCTTTCAGCATTTTTATCTTCTCTGACAGACACAACAGTAGGCATCTGCATAGACGGGTGCTGTGTTCGATGGACGTGAAGAGAAGTCTTTTGGCATTAAAGTCAATTTAGAAAAAGTGATTAACAATCCTTTACACTTGGGCAACATGGATTTTTTTCTTCCATGGCCACTAGGTCATCTGATTACCTTCTTACAGGACCTCAGGACCAGAAACTGGAGACGAACTTTGACATGACCTTTACACCTACTTTTATTCTTTCTTACTTCTTGCTATGCAGGCTTTTAAAAAACAATAGAGAACTGCAGAGTTGTATTTAGAGGCAAAGTGACGGCAAGAGAATAACTGCACAATGACAGACCTTTATGTAATGATTTACAAGTGTAATGGTAATGCTCTTAAGACAGTTTGATCTGATTTGGTCTAGAAGTTTAAGACAATTATAGGTATTTCAGAGTTCAGTTCATATAGACAGTGGGCAGAGCAGGTTAGAGGGAGTAAGGTTTTGGTTGTTCTTATTGTTGCTTGGTCTGCTTTTTGTGATTTTGTGAACATGCAGACACCAAAGAGGAAACACCGGGTAACACTACTTATGATCAAACATCTCTGACCCAAACTACAAGTTCTTAAAATTATTGGATACCTACTGAAAAAAGAGACTGATTTGTAGTACCCTATAATATACTCCACTGAAGTAGCCACAATATTTCACCCTGAACACTCCTACCCAAAATAAAATAATAAAAATTCTTTTAAAAGACTTACCTACTGGAACCTCTAAAATAAAGTCTGGTGTTTTGTCATAACCCTTTGCACGAAGCTGATCTTCAGCTATACATAGAGAATAAGAACTATTGTTTATAAAACTATTCTATTAAGTAGACAGCAGTATAATTAATTTTATTTTAAATAAGAGTGCAAGAATTACTAATGCAGTCATACATATCTTTCTTATGCATGCAATGCTGTGTCAGATTAAATGAACCTCTGTAGAAAACCTGAAGCATGGATATAAAAATGCTTCTTTGTCATCCTTGCATTTTTATGTCTTCATTATAAACATCATTAATTCAAGCTGTCATACAGTATTTTATAGCCCCCAAATATTCAAAATAAAGAGGTATATTCACTGATTGAAAGAAGAGTCTCCTCACATTAGGAGGCTGTTAAGATTAATCCTACTACCACCACCACAAATGTAGATATACTGCACCTGCCTTCTTGGTTTTATTTTAATGTTAGCATAAAGTTGTTCAAAAAAAAAAAAAAAAAAAAAAAAAAAAAA